CCCTAGTTTTGTCTTTTAACATGTGAGGATTTTGGCTTATTGAAATTCTCAGAAGCATTTCCAATGGTTCATGAGGGCAGCTTTTTAACACTAGGGACACTGTAAGTACTGAGAATAGTATAGACAATGATACAGAGAATATGATGCTGCATTCAAACCAAATATAGTAATTTTGTATGTCACAGACATACAACATACGACATTCCTTTATACTTAATTAGTAGATCTATGAGCAAAGACAATACTTCACATATATTCCAAAATAAAAAGAGAATATTGATTTTAATTGTTTCCTTTCCAAAATCAGAACAAAAAAATCTCCATACCAGAGGTAGGCTTAATTTTATGAGATTCATAGAATCTTGTAAAATAAAGCTGTTAAACTGTGAAAAAAAAAATACTGTAGAATAAAACTGTTCCATATTTTTAAAAAAGTATGCCCTGTTAATGAGAAACATTTTTTTCAGAAAGTAAGCAACACAATAACTTTGTGTTGTTAAACACAAATTAAACCTTAATTAAAATGATTAAAAATACTATGGTAGTTACATTGCTTTTTTATGTAGTGAAGAAAAAGGTTAAGCATGGTGTGGTATAAACCATCATTAGTTGTGGGTAATAAGAAGCTCTAGAGAAATTTTAWATAGTAATAAGCATGACTATTGGAGAAATGACATCTGGAAAGTAGTTTTACCCATTGTGACATCCCTAAAAGCTGATTAACTCCAATGCATTGAATAAAAGACAGATGAAAAACTTGAGCAGGCAGAAAAGAGGTTTATTAGTSAAAAAAAGAAGGGCAGGGGTTGTCATATATTTGGAGTAATCCTTGAATCTTTTGAAAGGAAATGGCTTAGAACCTTTCAAAGTCTTTCAAAGTAAATCTCAGGACTTAGTACTTTACCTCCTCGAGCAGTCTGCTAAAGAAAAGTCTCTAGGCYATCTTACAATTACTGTAAAACATGTATAAAGTGCACATCTGAGTGACCAACCATTAATATGCCTTTCACCATCATTTAAACAGCACTCTTTCATTCACCTCTRAAATAATGGGAAAGAGTTTAAAAATGCAGTTTGACCAACTATTGGGAARTGTTGAAGGGCAGGAGAGTTCAGAACTGCTGCTCACGGGCCAAGAGCACAGARCGGGTGAGAGCCTGGAGCTTGTTCAGTCTGGTGAAGAAGAGACCAGTGCTTGCCACCTTGAAGAGCAGTTGCAGGAAGAGCAGCTTCATGTGTGCCCTGATTCTGCCAGGTAAACAGCACCACAAGAGACAATCAGAGACCACAAACCGTGGCACGCGGGGTTGAGGTGGAAGAGAAGAAAGCTGCTTCCCTCTGGAGCAAACACCTCCAAACACCTTAGGAGCTGTGTAGGCTGGTCTAGGCAAAGCCATGACCACCCTGRCCTGCGTGAGGTGGGCCCTGGAGCTCCTTCCAGCCAGCGTTTCTGTGATAATGCCCTGTGGTGCCTAAGTGGAAGGTATGACATGTCAGCATGAGCACTTTGGGAGCTGTTTGCTTTAAACAGATGAAATATTTGTTACTATGGTAGTTGTTGTTATCATGTGGTCTTGGTGACGAAGGAAGAGCATCCCATCTGCTCTACAGACAGGGTCCTGCTCTGTGTCCTCACCTTGAGTTGTAATAGGAGCTGCTCTGGTCAAACTGCAGGATTTTTATGACTGGTAGATCTCTACTTTCAAGCTACTCACTTAGCTGAACTAAATATGTTTTAGATGGGAGCAATATCACTGCTTAAAAGGTCTGTTACTGGAAATAAACCATAGATACTGTTTCTAATTTTATAATGAATTTCTGCTGAAATAGAGCAAAAATTCTTCTCCAAAGTGTCGCAGTGTCTTAGTACAGAGAGTATGGAAGGTTCCCTTTAGGGAAGAGGTATGTAGGGAGAGAAGAGAATATGGTGATGTTTTCTTACTCCATTTCTAATAAAGTAGCTTTTTTAGAAGGATTTTTTTCTTGACTCATGGCTAATGGTGAGCAGAGGAGTCATCTTGTTAAAATACATGCATATTTATGATTAAAATTGTGCTTATATACTTTGCTGAGTCTAGATTCTTTACATATTAGTAACAGTTGTAAGAAAATAATTTTTCTACTAATACCTGWCTTTGGTGTTTAAGTTGGATATTTATCACCTACCCTCAAATTTACTGCACTTGCTCTTCATTATATATATGCTGAATTTCATGGCAAGTTTAACAGAAAGAGTACATAAACTTAGAATTCAAATGGCAATATTTTCTTAGTACGTGACTTTCTGTTAGTATTTAAGCTATGATTTATGATCTCCATGCTGGTTTTGTTGTGTCGAACAGTAACTAGAAAAAGCAGTTTTATTCCAGTTTGTAGGTCTTCCCGTAGAGGCCAAAAGGCTGCAGAGAGAGCAGCATTGAGCAGCCTAATCCTTGGGAAAGATTAAGGAAATCCACTGACCTTTCAGTTGTGGATCTGAAGGAGAGTGACCTTATTCTTAGCAGGTTTGGACAGTTCATCACCCTTTGCTGGATTCCTTAGAAGGGATTTCTTCAGCCTTCCTGATGTCTTAATTGCAGCTACCTCCTTCATTCGATCACCCTAGATGCTGTTATTGCAGTCCACCTTGTAATGTGCATCCTGAAATTATTCCTCTACTGAGGTGGTTACCTTTCCCACTTGTCTGGTACCACTGTAGGGCAAGATCCTCTGAACAAGAAGTAATTCTGATTCAGAGGGCTCTGATGCACCGTGATTTTTTACCATTTCTCACTCTTCTTTGTGTTAATTTTATTTATGATTGGATAGCAAAGTACAAAATTTACAAGTGGCCACTGGATGCAGATRGATTGAGATTTAGCCTGTCTCTTTCTTGGAAGTGGAGGAAAGAAGTTGTTTTGTGGTACAGAACAGAATCCATGTTACATGGAATTGATGTATGTAAGACATGTTCCTTTTACATTGAAGACACACAATATTTTGTTTTCTACTGTATATGTCTCCTGCAGCAGTTACAGAGGTAATGTTGCAGTTGACAAGATGCTGAGAATTTTTAAGCATGATACCAGTTAGCCTACCTTTTTTGCTCCATCTAGTTTGGCATCCATTTCAAGCAGACTATTTGCAAAATTGTTTTCCTGGAGTTTCCTGTAACAAGGGTCACAAATTTATCCAAACTAATAATTTTCTTGCTTGTCTGTAAATTTCTGTGGTATGAATATGAAAGAAGTATCAGAGTTACAGATTAGTATTTTGCAGTGCTTTTGAAGAGTTTTTGCAGAAAGAAGGCATTCCTTATAAAAGTAAATCCTGTCTTTGTTTTCCATGCACTTTTCTTATTGAGAAGTTCTCAATAGCTCATAAATTTAGTATCAAAGAAAAGCACACTATTAATGCAGTGGTGTTTTTTTTTCATTTTCTGTGAGTGTCAGAATGTTAGAAGGCAGCGAATGAGTTCAGGTAGAGACTTAGAATTGAAACAATGGCTTGTAAGTTAGCATTACATTGTTTATCTTTTATTGTCAAGGTATCAAAGTGAAAATTAATGCTACATAGTTTCTGTTGCTGTGACTCTATGTACCATGTGTAGGGCCTTGAATAGAGAAGTCCCCTATATAAAAATTGAGAGGAACATCTGTTTATGCTTTAATGATTGATGACAGGTATGCTCAACTCTGCTAATAGTAAGGGAATCGTAAGATCTTATTGATAGAAAGAAAGAATTTGACTCCTGTACCTTAGTTTCTGCATTCATAAATTTGACTGTTTATTCTCAACTATCACTCCAGTGGGCTGTAAAGTTTGATAAACTACTTGAAATTTTTGTGATGATACAAGATGCCTAAATAAACAACCATCCTCTTCAAAGTTTATTTTTATGACTTTTTTTAAAGTTTCTATTCTCCACGCTTATGCAGGTCACTTTAAAATGCAAATTAATGCAAGTCAAGGTACATTTACTGCAAAATTGTCTGAGTTTTTTTGCAGATTGTTGCATGGGCTAGCAACAACAGAATCTGTTCTGAAGCCCTGCTCTGGCTTCAGAAATGCTGAAATGGTGAAATGCTCTTTTCTGGGGACAGCTTCTGAAACTGTTTGCAGGTGGTTATCAGGCCTGCCTGATGGCTTTCCTGATAAAGAAGTACACAGGACTAATTCCTGGTGCTGACCTTGGTGTATCTGTGAGTGTGCAGTAGCTGCATCACGTCGATCTAACAGTTGTTTGGACCTGCACTGAAACAYGGTGTGATTCCGTAGTGTCAGAAATCCCTTACACACACAGCCGTGGATGGGCCACACAGCCAGCTCACACCGGTCACACAAAGTGCTTTTCAGGAGCTGTTGAGTAAAGGCTACTCCAGCAGGATTGAAAAAAAATCTAAGTTGGGGGAGTGGGGCGGGGGTTGTTGGGTTTGCTTTGTCAAAAGGCTTACAATAGGGGAATAGCCTCAGGTTAGCAATGGATAAATGCCGAAAGAATCTGTGACTATAAATTATCAATCTGTAACTGTTTCAAAGTTGATATCTTTGTTGAGTTAACATTTACTTGATGGTAAGTTTTGGGAACAGCATATAAAATATGTAGGTTTCTTAAAAAATGACTCAGGTCTTGTATCTTGYTCTACATTGGTCCCTGCCTTGAACTGCATGCGTTTCAACACCCAGAAGTTTGTTAGCTGCTCCTACCTGTGCATGGTCGGATTACACAACACTGCCTGTTACAGCTTCCCTATTCATGACCTGTGTTTTAAAGAATACTGAACCTTGAGTAGTTGAGTTTGCAAAAGGAAAACTACCTGCATGTTTAATTAATGGCCTACTTAAGAATTATAACAGAGTCAGTTTGAAATCCCTACATTTTGGTAAGAAAGCTTCCAAGATGAAATGGATCTGTTCATAAAATAGAGTGGAATTGTGTGGATTMAATTCAGAATTTCCTCTGTTTTCATAATAATTATTCATAATAATTTTAACCACGTAAAATTCTCTTTCTTTTCCAGAATCGAATGGAAGAAAGCAAAGCACTCTTTAGGACAATTATCACATATCCGTGGTTCCAGAACTCTTCAGTCATTCTGTTCTTAAATAAAAAAGATCTCTTGGAGGAGAAAATTATGTACTCCCATCTAGTTGATTATTTCCCAGAGTATGATGGTGAGTATATTGCCACCAAACTTCTTAATAATTCAAACTTTTAACATGTGATGGAAGTCTTGTGGGATTTGGTAAAATTGGTGGTTCTAGATAAAAATATTACCATGTGAGCAGTGGACCACATTTCATCCATGCTCATAAGTTGGACTTGATGAAGTAATTAGAACCAGGAGTGAGATTTTGAAATGGAACGTAAAAGCTAAAAATTCATTTCTTATTTTTACACCTTGTCTTATATACTGTTGCTAAGTTGTGTTTTGTGGCTGGATAGCAGAAGAGAAGTGTAGCAAGTTCTCTGTGGCATGCATAGAAACCAGTATCACTCCTACCGTTTCTTATTTTTATTTATTTTTTTATTTTACTTCATGTTTCTTTTATTTTAATTTCATCATTTATGTGAAGTGTTCTTGTCTTGGAAAACACCATGCGGATCACGTAGCCGTTTCTAAGGAAACTGCTCTGTCAGAAGGTCTCCTGAGATGCAGTGTTAAGTATTTCAAGGTAACTGAGTAGAGGTTTCGGTAGGAAAGAGAGAAAAATCTTACATTCAAATAATAAGAGGGCTGAAGAACTAAGTATCCTTAAAAAAAAAAAAAATCTTTTCTGTCACCAGGGAATGAACAAGTGATTTGGAAGGTGCAGAAAAGATTAATGTTCTGATTTTCAAAATGAATGGTAATAATAGAAACAGATACAGCTTTTTATTTTGTTTGAGATGAAGGAATCTGTTTGGTGAGCAGCCCACAGGATCGGACCRTAGTTCCTTCCCTGTCAGTGTGGGTTCACGTTGACAGTGACACGTTGTCAGTGTCACGTTGACAGTGCCGTGCAGAAGACAACTGCCAGGTGGATAGGAAGTGTTCTTGTCCTGTTGAGGTTGTTTCCTGTGGCRAGTGTCCTACGTGACATCCCGAAGTGGGAAGACTTTGCAGGAACGTGTCCTCCCGCGGCTCGGCCGGAACCGGCGGGGCTGGGGTGAAGAATTGCGGGAGGAGAGAGACAAAGACAGAGTGGGTCACACTGGGATGCACAAGAAGAGCAGAACCCTGCAGGACCCTCCTCTCCGCGGTGCCCCGTGGAAGTGAATGTGCTCAGCAGGCTATCCAGGCCAAACCGTGGTGCTCTATACGTTAAACTTCACATATCCTGTAGATGGTCCCTGTGAAGACTACTGAACAGTCACCAAAGGACATCAGACTACAGGTCACCATATTAGGTTGTAAATCTAGCATGGCTTTTTTTTTTGCTTTTTTTTTTTTAATTCCTGAAGGTGGCAAACTGTCTTTTTAACTTTAATTTTGCATACTTCAGCTCCAGTCAAACAAAAGTTTTGGATACAGGCAGTAATGCAGTGTATTTTGGCAGAGAGTGAGCCTGCCTAAGCCCAGGCTATAAAATGTTTAATAAAATTCTAGGAAGTTGATTTAAACAGTAAAGGACTTATTTTGAAGAGGTGGTTAATGGCCTTTGAAAGTCATAGCACTGCCCTTTATTAATATAGCAAATTTGTTAAAAGCAGAAAAAAAAGTGAAATTCTTTTTTTTTTTTTTTTTGCTGTTTCTATAGAAGCAGGGTGAGCAGTCCAAAGGTGAGAACCTGTGGTGTTTAGAACAAGTGAAAATGGTTAGCAATAGGTAGCCCTGCCTCAGAGGGATTATGACTTGGCGCCTTACTCTTCTGTATTTCTCAGCAGAGATAGTCTGCATGTATGTGTATTTGTTTGCATGTTCCTGTATAGAGGTATGTCAGTATATATGCACCACTGTGCTGCAGAATCATCTTCCTCTTCACAGGCATTTGCAGCAGCTGCGTTCCAGAATTCCTCTTCTCTTTTGTGATTTCTCTTTTGTGCCTCCTCTGCTAGCTAATTTTTGCAGCCTTAGCCAGAACGTTCACAACTGTAAGCTTTACGCATTAAAAAATGAGTTTCACTGTGCAATTACTGCAAGATCGGAGGTCGAGCACTCGAATCTCTGTTGCTGTGTGTGTAGATGATACTTCAGATACTGAAGATGTGGACTGGTGAGGATGTAGGAGTGGGAAGAGAAACAGCACATAAGCACCACACGTGTTGTGTAGAAACTTGTGATCCAGAAACGGGAGAGCAGGGGGATAATTCCCTGTGAAAATTGCTCTTGATTGGTGGTGCGGAATTGCAGGGTAAGAAAACGATGACGTGTGGCCTACGTTGCTGCTGCTGCTCTTTCAGCTGTGGGCACGAACAAACCCTTACTCTGCCACATCAGAGGTCGCTGTTTCACCTGCCCTCTTGTGTGGAGAGGTTTGRTTATGAAGGCTCCTGAGAATTACATCCTTAATTTAGATCCAACACGAGCGTTATCATGTGTAATTTAGATCATAAAGGATGTGTTAGAACATTAACTTTTTGCATTTGAATAGCTTCAACTAGACAGCCTGTGTATTTTATTATCATTGAAGTAAATTAAGTTCTATTGATGCCAGACCATTTTAGAAGGTACTTTATGATGCTACATATCAAAATCCTCCTAAGCTTAGTAAATGTTGGAGTGCTAAAAGAATTATATTCTTGGTGTAGACTGAAAATTGGTCAGCTCTCAAAATTAAAAAGATGTATTGATACAATAAATTACATTATTTTTAATGGTTCCTACTGTGAGTGAAATAGACAGTGAATGGCAGTATATATTATTAAAAAAAAAAAAAAAAAAGATTTTACTTCTCTTGCATGGGGATAGTGGAATAAAATCTTTATTACGTTTTCTGCTCAAAATCTTCCCCTGTTGAAGAAGCTCAAGTGTTGAATCGACTTGCAGGAAAACTGACTTTCTTTTCCTCGTTACCAGGACCACAAAGGGATGCGCAAGCGGCACGAGAGTTCATCTTGAAGATGTTTGTAGACCTGAATCCAGACAGTGACAAAATTATCTACTCCCACTTCACGTGCGCCACAGACACAGAGAACATCCGCTTTGTCTTTGCTGCTGTCAAGGACACGATCCTACAGTTAAACCTGAAGGAATACAACCTGGTGTAGCCGTGCCAGGAGGCCCTCCGAGACCGCCCCCGTGGCTGAGGATAGGCAAGAGGGACTGTATTAGCTGTGAAAACAGTTTGCATAATACTAATTTATTGCCGGCCTGGACTCTGTGAATGTCCACAGAGTTTGTAGTTAATATTATGATTTTATTTAAACTATATGGAGGAAAAACAAAAGATGCTGAAGTACATTCACAGCACATTTCCTCATTTTTTAGGCAAAACCTTGTGACTCAATGTGTTTTAAAATTCTCAGTTGTACACTCACAAAGGATAGCAGTTTTTTGCTACTGAAGCAAAATCAAGCTGTTTTTCTCTTTCCCTGACCCTTTCTCTCTCTCTCTCTCTCTCTCTCCCCCTCTCCCTCCTTCCTTCTCCCTCCCCGCTTGTCTTTTTAAAGGTACAATGGCCTTTTTTTTTCCCCCTGTTGCATTCCTTGGTAAAATATTTTCTGTGATTTGGTCAGGAAAATATTATCACTAGAATTTAAGACATCAGACATTCTAATTTTACACTATGTACTTTCTCTGAAGGATCAAAAATATGATACTGTGATTTTTAAATTCTTGACATGGGTGTTTTCATTCTGTCTTCAGTTTGAGGTTAGAATGTTTGCAATTGCAAAGCGGAATTACAGTTCTCTATGGACTTACCTTAACCATACCCTTGCAGCATGGAAGGGTGCACAGAAGACAGTAATGAAATACTAAGACACAAGCCTAGGGATGTATGTGGAATATGATAGAATCTCTTTTTAATTGCCATGTGCCATTTTTTTTTTCTCTTTTACTCACTAATGCCAAACAGAAATGTCATAGACACTACATTTTTTCCCAATTGCTACAGCCTGAAACAGTGTTGTTTTCTTTTCAGTTGTGTAGATTTTACCTTAGGTTAGAGCTTTTCTAAGTGTTTTTTTTCCCCCACAGTAGAGAAAAAATGTTTTTATTGTATAGGACTAATGTTGCCAAATCTGGCTTTTTATAAAACTGATTCTCTTGAAATGTAAGATACTAGTTAAAATGCCAAATTGATAGATTGGGAACTGACCTGATTGAATCAACTGCCAAATGGTAAACAAACATAGTTTCAGCTCATGTGTTCCCCTTTTTAAGAAAGTGTTCCGTTTTCTAATGCCAAAAAAAAACAGTGTGAGTGAATATGCTACTAGGTGCATCATGCACATGCGTATGGTCTACTAGTTTAAAGGCAGTTTAAGCCTCTCCGTATGTCAGAGATGGCATGAGATTGCATAGAGTGTTTTTCATAATAATATCAAGGCACCTTTAGTTGCACAATGTAAAATGATCGATGAATGATGACATTGAGGAACCTTTCTCCATAAGGTTGCTTGTTAACTAATTCATACACATTTGGCAGGCTTTGTGCAAAACAGCCTCTCTCAGTGTTCTTTAGAAAAAAGATTATTAATGTAGGTGAAACAGTGAGAAAAAAAATCACTTTTGGAAGTTTAAATGTGCAATTTTTTAACAACAAAAATACAGCACAGATTGATGAGCCTTTATTCTGCAGCTTAGGTTGAAAGAAGGTGTTTTTTGACCAGATACATGACTGCTGGCAAGCTACAGGAGGAGGTAGAGGTCAGACGTGTAGTGGGATTGATCATGTGCACTGTCAGGCAGCAGCGGGTGCACTGAGYGCTCGGGAGCTGCCGCTTCACAGCAGCCGCAGGAGGGACGTGGAGAGCAGAGAAGGGCTTGCTAGTGGTACCAGAGTTACACTAAATACTAATGAGGGGGTCTCATCCTGAGCCCTCCCAGCTCCAAAACAACAAGAAACAGTTGCTATTTTTTGCTCCCTTATAAAACACCTTGTAATTTAAAACTGGTTGTAGGTATAGTGCAATTATGAATGCTATAATCATTGTACATACATCTATATATATATATGGCAGCATCCATATTGGCTTTGTAATCATTAATTTTTGGCAAATTGAATGTGCTGTATTGATATGTATCTATGTAATTGTATTGTATGTCTTATAGCTAATTCACATTTTAAATAATGTTATTTTATTTACTTTTTTAAGAGAGAAGAATGTAAATTTTGTCAGTTTATTTCTGACTAGGGATTTGTTGTTGTTTTTTATTTACAAAACAAAAAACTTACTATAGTGCAGAGCGGTACTAGCATCGTGCTCTATAAAATCATTTGCACATTCCTGAGTAGAAGTAAATTTGAGACACCCAGAGGACCTTCACATTCAAAACTGCTTAAATCTTACCAGGGCTTTACACAGATTTATAAATCAGTTTTGATAGAACTTACACCGTTACATCTCGGATTGGAACATAAGCTCTTAAATATAAACTTCATTTGTATTTGGCRGATCCACAAAAGTTAATTTTACATTTTTAGTGGCCTTTTCTAGAAAAGCGGATTTGGAGACATTTCAGACCATTGTGCGTAAGTGCTAATGGGTATGTTTTCCTAAAAATGATATGAATACGGAATGTCAGATAATTAAACCGTACTTCGGAAAGCATAGATGTAACAGAAGCAGAAGTCACTAGCATTAACCATTTGAAGGAGTCAGAGCATCGTGTCTAGTAAAGCTGAAGGAGGCGGATGTCGGTTGTAAGAAGCGATACCAGCACCAGGTAGTSGTGAGAGCAGTTAGTCTTGTCATGGACAGCCTTATAAAACTGGTCCCAGTCTTAAAACGGAGCCTCTGCTCCCACTGCTGACGCTGGGGTGCGCGGCCACATCCCTTCCTTTAACCCCGGAATAGATCGGCCACCAGTGAGGTAAACAGAGCTGTAACCAAAAGACAGAAAGGTGGCACCTGACAGCAGGTTGCTGGCTGCTTTTTTACTCCTTATTTTGTTTTGTTTGGGGATATTGGGGAGTGGCGGGGAGGGGGAGGGAGGCGGTGGAAATGTGGTTTTAAGTTTTGTATAAAAACAAAACAAAAGTTTACTCATGCTTTATAGTGCTATTGTGATTGCAAAAGTTTTTCAAGAGTGTGTGCCACTGGGCTTCTTCTGGTATATTTTAGGTAAGTTGAACCTGTGGCAATGTTTAGTTCATTTGAGCATGTTCTGGAAAAGAAATATTCAGCATGCCAAGGCAAGCTTTACATGAATCACCTAACACAGCATTGCAGTGTGACAGTTTACAAAAACATTTCCTTTTTAAATGACACAGCTGTTCCCACTCGCAATATATTCCTTTATTGTTGTTGTTGTTGTTGTCGTTGTTGTTTCAATTGGTGGTTTCTACTATGCCTTACTGTGCTTGAGTCCAGAAATCTGTGCCTCTAACATTAGCCTGAAGGCAAAAACGACTAGACAGAAACCCTTTTACTTTTGCCAAAATTATATGATTTCTTCGAATGTCGTAAGTGGGGGAGCTCTTGGGAACCTGTGTGTTCTAGGTGTTCACTAACACAAGAAAGCTGTAATATGTGTTTTACAGAAACCTTAAACTTGCCTTTTTCACATGTTAGCTGGCACTGTCCTGACGTGCCTAGGAYGATGCAGTTACAGGGGCAGTTTACTTTTTATAATTCAGACTCTTTTGATTGTCATGGTGTACAAACTGTCATTTTCATCATACTGCCACATGATTATGAATCACTTTTTTAAGTTTGAAAGTGAAGAAAAGACTTTTTATGCTGGATATCAGTCAGAATTGACTGCGTGATTTGCAAAAACTTTAAATGGGGGCAAAAGGGCTGCATATGAAGACATTGCTAGACTCCCACCCCTTGGTTGTGAGGTGCAAAAGACTTTGACATTCCTCAACCATCTAATCACCCTTCCCTTGTGATACAGTCTTCACAAACGAGCGAAATAATAGGAGAAAAGAAAGACATGTCAACCATTATGAAAAAAAAATAAATTTTACCCAAATAATTTATTATATGTGCTGCTGTTCTTGGAGCTCTGTGCATGGTCATCCTGCAAACTGTTGTCTTTAGTAAACTAATGAAGTGTGCACAGTATGTTAACAAGGCCGACAAATGACCTACCTCTAATTAAGAAACCAAGTAAATACGTTTTGGAGATATGTCATGAAGTTAGGAAATTAAAGTGGCCTGATGTAGGTGACTAACTGTGTTTTAGACATTAAAGCTTTTGTAAAGACAGTCCCTTTTTTTTGACATAAATGATAAATTCTAATACTTAGTGTGCATTAATCAACAAAGATCATCTCTCCATATTCAATTTTTTATTGTAGCAACTTTGCAAAACTGCAAGGTTTAGTKTAAGAAGAACCACTGAATCTGCTCCTCTGTCTGGCCTTTGTTTACTCATAATATTTTGAGTTGTGTCAATCAAAAAAGAAACATTTACATGTAATCCCTCACCCACTGAAGCTCGTTTCTTYGCTGGATAGAGGGGTTTCCTGGTAACTTTTGCTCGTGTTTTTTCACGGTAGCCATGCTGCGGAGAAGGGAAAAACAGGGAAGTTACATACATGGGCAAAGTTGAAGATAGTTATAAGACATTAAAAAGACATGGTAAAAGTCAGCCAGATCACACGTGCTGTTGTTTGCTTTGCTGTGTTTTGTTTTGGTTTTACTCTGGAAAGATAGTCTAAGCTGAAGTCTGTTGCTGGATTCCTTACTGACCATGCTGCAGGAAATCCTTACTTGACCAGGGTATTTGGGGAGGGAGGGAGGTTGTTAGACACATTTTTAAACTTGCAGTATTTAAAAAATAAAGATCATATTTGCTGTTCTTAAAATGTCATTTAAATGCATGTTGTCTGTTGTTTGGGGACTTAGTCTTTTTGGGGAAAAAAAAATGTGTAAATACTGCCCCTCAGAAATCTTGCTGGTTAAAAATACAGTATTTTTTGGTCATAGCTTTGTGCCATAGTATTTTCATTCCTTAAAATTTAAGTTTTCTGAAGTATATTTGAACTTGTGGTTTTCCCAAAATGCTTCTTACTATCATAAATATTGTATAGATATTTTATTCCACTGATTACTTTTTTAATTTTACATATTCTGTGTCCTCATTKTCAAAATACTAAAGTTTTCTGGAGTATCTGTTACAGCCAGAAAGTGGAAAGCCTCTCAGGCTCAGCACAGTGGAGGCAGTCGTTTGAAAGCAACACTAAACTTCTTTTCTGACTTGTGTACAAAACTCAGAAGTGTAGGGGGAAAGGAAATAGTAATTGCCGAGATTATTATTATTACTCATTCATAGAACACTTCCAGGGCTTGTAGACTGAGGGGAACTTAGAAAGTGTTCTGGGAGACTGCAGCAGCGTTGCCAGAATGGACACGTTGCCRTTTTCTTTTCTTCTTGGCTTGAGGGCTGGTAGGAATAGGCAGAAAGAAAGGTGCCTGGTGTTGCAAG